TGATGAGATGGTTGCTTTACTAGTAATGATGAGATGGTTCCTTTACTAGTAATGATGAGATGGTTGCTTTTGGGGGGATCAAGCAATAGACTTCTGTTTGGTAGGAATAACAACAATATCAACAAGTTTCTGTTAAGGATCTTTGACATCCATACTGTCTGTGTGCACTGAACTTAAAATCTCTTCTTAAAGCATCAAATCTTGAACACAACATTAATCCCATTTCACCTGACCTCAAAACATATCAGTATCATTCTTCATTTCGAAGACTAAGTGGTCTTTCCAGTTTGTACATACTTAAAACTGACATTATTAAAGAGTACTTAAGAACTTATCATAGGTTGTCCCACATTTCAACAGAAGACCTCCATTCAGCCTGAGAGCCAGAGTGCCGATATGAGGGTCAAGGAATTGATATGGAGTATGAAATGAAAAGCAACATTGTTATGAGGCAGTGTTATATATTGTGCATCAATGTTTCAGCTGCCATATATTGTACCTGTAGATTCAGTAAGCAACAATAGTGTGCTTTTTTTTATCCCCACAACTTGTTTATAGAAACGAGTTCCCTCTGTCCGTGCATCTGTGCATCCGTCACACATTGTCCGAAGCATATCTCCTAAACTATTCGTGATAGCTTAACCAAACTTGGTACACATTTCAACCTTGATCCATAGATGTGCCTCTATTTTTTTTGGTTTCCATGGAAACGTGACTTAATCTGTGACTATGAAGATGTCATCTAGTCCGGAGCAGAACTTCCCAAACTATACATGCTAGTTTGATACTAAATCTTTCACGAGTTTAATAAAAACGGTATTTCACGGAAGCGAGTTTAGTATTCTGTTTATTACTCTCCAAAATGAATTGACAGAACCTGCCCACTAACAGTGTAATGACTTTCAGCTTTCCGCGAGTCAAGCAAGGTCTAATACCATTGTGACAAAGGTATTAGCATTGTAATGTCATAATGGTTTACAGTTATGACATCACAATGGTATTAGACCTTGCTTGACTTGCGGCAAGCTGATGGACTGATGGACTCTGTGTTTGAAGAGACAATATCCCAACCAGAACAGCCCAGCATATTTTGGTATACAGTGCACTCTGTCAAACTCGGACTCTGTCTTTCACGGATTGCTGTATAAACAGGAATGAACTTCGGTCCCAACATAATCCTTCTTTGTTGTCATAATGAAAAAGCTCTGTATCTCGGACTCTCATTATTTCAGATTTCGGACCAAAGTGTCGGCCCGAAAAGGTAGTTACATGCAAAAACATTGCTTTGTATATATTTCTGCTTGTACCAATTCTAACCTGGGTCTTCATGGTTGGTTTGGCTAATGAGGTGTTAGCTTCTGTAGACCATCATTAAAGTCTGTTGTGAGTGAGGAGTACTTGCTTTTCGTATTAAAGGTTTTCTGCCACCGAGAGGTGACAGTTCCAATGTTAAAGCCATTACTGTTTTGAGGGATAATGGTGCTCTTCAAACTTTTGGATGGCATTTTGCCACATTCTGAAGAGTCAACTTTGAGGTTTTGTAATAGTGCTTTTGTGGTTGTACAGGTGATTTCTTCATTTTATGAATTTGAAGGCTGAATTGGTTTCTTGGTATGTTAAGGAGGGTGTGGAAGTAAGGTGTTGACTTGCTTATTGGGAATGAAATGTTTGGCCCATCCTGTTGTGGTGGGGTGGGGTGTGTGTGTGTGTTATTAAAATGGACTCCGTCCGTCTATCCGTCTGTGCATATTTGTCTTTTCGGGAGCATAACTTCTTCACCAAACTTGGCACATAGATAGATCTGGTGGTCTACTGGTGCCTTTTGGTATTTTGGGATTTCTGAATAAACTATTTTTTGCGTTTCCATGGCAACAAGTTTGACTTAGACTGAAATTGGTGGTAGTTCTCTTTTTCTGGAGCAGAACTCTAAACCCATTCACTGTTTCTTCACCAAACTTGGCACATAGATAGATCTGGTGGTCTACTGGTGCCTTTTGGTAGTTTTTTATTTCTGAATAAAATATTTTTGGCGTTTCCATGGCAACAAGTTTCACTTTGACTGAAATTGGTGGTAGTGCTCTTTTCCGGAGCAGAACTTCATCACCAAATTTCATACATAGGTAGGTCTAGTGGTGAACTGGTGCCTTTTGGTAGTTTTGGATTTCTGAATAAAATGGGTTTTTTGTGTTTCCATGGTAACAATTTTGGCCTCAACTGAATTTGGTGGTAGTGCTCCTTTCTGGAGCAGAACTTTGAAACCTTTCAGTACTCTCCTTCCACTTTGCTATGTGCACACCAAAACATTTGACATTATCATAACTCGTAGACGTATTCATGAAGAATATTTTGCTATTGCGGGGGATATTGATGACTTTGTCTTGTTTTTCATGAACCAAGCACTTTGGAAAGTACTGAGAATATAGAAAAAGTGTTGTTACTCGTGCTCTTTCTTCTGAGAACGATTCTATTTACAATTTGTCTGGCACTTTCATGGATAATTCTCTTGCCTTGTTTAAATTTGAATGAGTGTCCTCAAAATTCTGACAGTTTGGCTGTTAAACCAGTTCTGATCTGGGAGCAGTGAAGAAGTTGATGAGGTTCCAGTTTGCTATTACTTCAAGGATAGCATTTTGATGAGGAAATGGAGGCCACCAGATGTCTCTGCTGACAATGAATGGAAGGTTTCTTAATCAGATTCTTCTTTGAAATTCATATTTAAAACATGTTTTGAGTTTGGCAAATGAAACTCCTTTGGGCGGTGTGAACAGAACTTGTGTCAAAACTTTGCCCTACCTTTTTTGGCCTAAATTCCAGGATGATGTGGCTGAATTTTGCAAAACCTGCCTTGTGTGTCAAATGGTTGGCAAATCAAATCAAAATATACTTGCTGCACCATTTAATACCCATTCCAGACTTTGAGGGGTAGTGGATAAAGTGTTTGCTTGTTACGCCGAACACGCGGGTACAATGTGTGAAGCCCATTGCTGGTGTCCCCAGCTGTGATATTGCTGAAATATTGCTAAGGGTGGTATAAAACTAAACTCGCTCACTCACTCCAGACTTTGAAGATTGTTTCAGCAGGATTGTGTTGGTCCTTTGTGTAAAACTAAGTCAGACAACCAGTTCAGGCTTACTATCAAGTGTGCTTCCACAAGGTTTCCAGAGGCTATCCCTTTAAAGAAAATTATGACCCAGATCATTACCAAGTTGTGTACTATGTGTGGTTTGCCAAAGACTATTCAGACAGATCAAGGCTCCAATTACATATATGCCGGGTGTATTGTTACAGGCTAAGCATTAGTTAAGGTACCAGTAACTGATAACGCAGGTGAAGTCAAGAGCATATCATCCTGAATCACCAGGAGCTCTACAGAGATTCCATCAGACTATTAAGAATATGATAAGGTATTACTCTTTTGAGACTGAGAATGTCTTTGGCCATACTGCTCATGAACCTTTAAAGGGGCACTGATCCAGAGCAATTTCCGTGGACTGGTTGTTGCTTTTGTTATTGTTTTTCTCCATTGAGTATCCAGATGATACCCCAAAATTCATGATTGGTTAGTTACCTCTGCTGTGCCAGTATAAGTATAGACTGATCAACAAAGATGAAACCTTTTTGACTCGATAATATTTCCATCTTCGTTATTTTGATAACAAATGAAAACATTTTGAAGTTAACCCAGTGGTAAAAATTGTTTGTTCTCTCGGTTGAGATTTTATCTATCTGCTCATATGGCAATTGTGTTTTACTCTTGTTTCAGATGATGCTGCTTCCTGATTTATTCTTATACTGTAATCATCTCTCTGAGGCACAGAAGGGACACTTTGTTCATTAGATCCATGAACACCTGTAGCTTCAGTTATAACAATTTTTTGTGTAATTTGGGCGAAAAAGCCTTGGAATTCCTGACCTTAAACAAGAAAGACGAACTTGCATCTGACCTGCTGTTCAAATGATGTCTAGCATTTTGTATAGCATCTTCACAATCTTCCAGGACTTCATCTTTTTCTTTACAGGTTTTCCTAGCATTATCATAATCAGTACCTTGGTCGTACACCTTGGACAATTCATACAATAAACTAACAGTTTTAGCCTGAAGTAAACTCACCTTGGCTCTCATCTCTAACTGCTCTCTTTGTGGGAAGATCCTTATTTTCAATCTAACTCAGCATCTTATTCTGAGCCTTTGTCAATGCAGATGTTGCTGTTGTCTTGTTTCTTAAGCTGGGCAATTATTAACTGAAGCTTATCAATATCACTTGTAGCCTTTACAGACTATCTCATCCCACCTCCTGAATTGTCTATATCAGACATTCTTGCTGATCTGTCAACTTTTGTAATCAAACAAGTATTAAGATAATGAAATATGTCTTTGTTCAGTCCGGTAGGATACAAGGCCTATCAAAACTGTCACTATCTGTAGCTAGTCCATCTTCAGAGCAGTCATGTTCTGCTGCCAATGTTACGCAGTGGAAATTAAGCTATATTACTGAAATTTTTACTTACCTTGCAGTCAACTAAACGTGAAATCCCCTTTTGGTGTTATGAAAATGTGAACTATACTAATAATTTATGAATGTTCACTTATAAACATAAAATTTAAATTTATAAACATAACAACCTGTCACTAGCCCTATAACAGAATCTGATCCTAATTTCGGTTGATCATGCACATGGTTATTAAATTTAGCACAATCTTGTGCAGCATGAAAACCCTGCACCTTCTGCAAAGTGGTTGTATCTTCATGAACTGATATCAATCAGCCATTCAGAATGGATTGGCAAGCCAGTCGGACCACTGACTGGAGATTTACTGGCCCGACTGGATTTTAACTAACACTGATGACAAGGCTCTCAAATGATAACCAAAGAGGTTTATATTTATGACAGGTTTTATCTGGAACCTGTTATTAACTGGGTAGGGTCTTGAATTTGCGAGGTTTGACATAATCTTGTCTAAGAGGTGACGTTACTTTCTGTCCTGTTTCATTTGCAGGAACTGGCTGAGTTTGAGAACCTCCTTGATCAAGTGAATATCACATCAGAGAGTAAGTAATTTTCCTTAAAGATTACAGAATGTTTGTTGGAAGGAGGGAGAGAGAGTGACAAGAATTACCAGCACATTCTGTACCCACTGTTTTCTGTTAAAATATCTTTTAACTTCCACTTTGGCCACATAAAAAAATATTCTTCTTTCTCATCACTTTTTCAAAAAAATATGGGTCTGTCCAAAACCCCTTGATTTCTGTGGAAATGAAAACTTACAAGTGTGAAAAATTCATACACATTTTGAGAGTCAAAGTTGCATTTTCTCTAGTGTAAAAAGTAAAAAGATCTTAGGGCCGGTAATGAGAAACAAGAATATTTTTATGTATGGCCTTACATCAGATATGTGCTGAGGGGTAACTTCGGTTAACAGAGGTTATGGCCGGGGAAAGCGAAATCTGGACCAAACCTACTCAAGTTAGAAGTCGCGAACGGTCAAGCTACAGTGAACAAAGAATTTAGTGTTCCTGGGACTCTCAATACACAAGAAAAACAAAGTAATGTGAGTTGTTGTCTGATACCGTAGTCAATGTCGAAATTTAATAAATAAATAACAATAAATATTTGAGTCATTCACCGATCAAGTCACATTGATGGATCATGTGGAGGTGGATCACTGAAGGTGGATCAGGTCAGCGACGTTATCAGTGAAGTCCAGGACACCCATGATGTTGTTGACGAGGTCATCCTTGAGTGACTGCAGGCGGGTGTCAATATGCTTGTATTCTCTTCCTGGGTGGGACTGTCCAGTCTGCTCCCATCTGTTGGATGGTTGGTATCGGGGTTGTCTCCATCTTTGCACGGTGGATTAGCGTGGACTTGAAGGCCTCCACTTCCATCTCGAATTGCACTGGTTGGTGGGTGTGGTGCCACTGTAATTAAGTAAAATAGTCAAATAAGTCTAACAACAAACAAATTTAAGTCAAATCCGATGTCCATTTGATAGCATAATAATTCATGATGATATTTTCTTACCTGCAAGACCGCTTGAAGGATGTCATTCTTGGTAATCACTGACGCTTTGCATCCGGCGACTACACAGCTCCAATACTTCTTTTCTCTGAGGGTTTTCCTACACCAATCCTTAAACTTGTCATAGAACAAGTGTGTCAATAAACGTAACTCTGACCTGCGCATTTGCCATTTTGATAAAGAAAAATACAGAGAGCTCTTTGTATAGGGCATTTCAATTTCAGTTAATCTCAGTTAATATATTTCATCTTTAATTACCTTAATTGTTTGATCTTTGTTAGGCATGTAAAAGAGCCCGACTTATTCATTATTGTATTTATGAGAAACAACTCCCATTCAGTTAGGCCTCAACTCAGCTTACTCAGTTAAGAGGCTCACAGGTCGAGTATTGGGGCCGCACACTAATCTGAAGTACGGTAATTCGATGTTTTCATAGCAATTCGCTTGCTCCTCACTTCTAGCACAACTTTGGTTTTTGCTTTACCGGGAATAGGGAATATTGAAATTTTGCTTTCCTGGACCGCCACCGCCACAGAGGTACAGGTGACCAGTGTCAAATAACTAGGTGTGAATGGCTCAAGTTTATTGGTGCTTAATTAACTAGGTATTAACGGGGTACAATTAATTAATTGTTAAATCGCTACTGATGGTAATGTGGTAATCTCTTCTGCTCGCCTGCCGATTTTGCACCATGTGAGATATTTCTTTACTCTTTTATACTTTTTTTACCATTTTAAGAAATTGATAAGGAAATGGGTTGGTATATGATATCAGTTATCAGCTACATGTGACTTGTCAAACTTTCACCATGGAGGTTAGAGGGGATATTGTAGACAGCAGACAGGGAGGACAAGATATCCTATTACAGGGTTTCAAGTAGTAGTAGATATAATGATAGTCCGAGATCAAGTCCAACAAAAGCCTCTGTAAAACTTTATTTCACAAATAAAGCTTTTGTCAGACCCTTAGATCTCGCCCCATCGTATATGCTACTTTTGAACCCCCAGTTAACTTCCCGACCCCACGTGACACAATAGTGTCGCTATGACCGCAAACTAGCACTTTCCTGATCATGTGACATGTCGTGTTGACAGGATACCATTGAGATTACCCTACAAGGTAAGTGTTAAATATTTTGCTTAGGTGGCAACATTGTGCCGTATGATCAATAATTCCTCTCTAACGAAACCTCTCCCTGGCCCATCTCTCAAGTAGTACAAGTTCGGCTCGTCGGCTTTGATGTCCACTTTATCTATGTTATAAGTTTTGACTGACCATATCGGGTTGGTGGTTCGCTTACGACTATCACCCTCGTGTTTCCCCGGCTGGTAGAGGTACCTCACGGGGGCCCTATCGGGTATCTGTTTCTCCTTCCCACGCAATGGCGCAGCCGACTCAGCCACTATTGATTTTAGTTTGATAGTGTCGGCTGGTTTCTTGCCTGTGAGACGGGTGGTTTCGTGGTTGATGGCCGACACCACCTGAGGTAGCCGCGCTACCCATTCAGTCGATCGTTTCCCCGGGTTGGCCATCTCTCTCGCATACTGATGCCCGAATAAGCGCTCGGCCAAAGTCCTATTGAATCTCTCAACTATGGCTTGGCTGCGATGGGCTCTGGCCGTGCCACACCTGACCTTGGTATCGTGTTTGTCTAGCAGGTGTGACACGGCACCCATGAACTCCCGCCCGGGGTCGACTTGCAGCTCTGTGGGCCACGTAAGCGGACTGCGTTTGTACATGCGTTCGAATCCGCGGGCTACCTGGGCCGAGTCTTTCGCGGTTAAGGGTTCGGCTTCTTTGTAGCGGCTGGCCACGTCCACAGCGGTTAAGGGAATACTTGTACCTCTTGTCGTGGGGTAGGAACAGGAGGTCGGCCTGGTGAACGCTATTGGGTGCGGTAATACCGAACCTTCTTCGAGGCACGTAGCGTGGTGCTGGTAAATAGATCTGCCACAGGGCTTGTTTTTCAAGCCACGCTTTGGCCTCGTTTGGTGGTACTCGCGCCATTTTAGCCAGCTTATGTACGGCGCTAGCTCCTTTCCAGTACCCACGCGGGCTGTAGTAAATAGCCTCAAACTTTCTCTGGTTCCGTGACATGGTATCGTATTTATATATACACTTATGTTCTTGGTTCAATTTTCTCATGCCCGTACGCGTACATGTTGATCCCATCAATAGCTATCCAACGCCTAGTGTCCATCGGCGACAGGGACGTCTTGTTTATCGTCAGTCCGTATATCCTATGCCCATCACTTCTAAGCGTGTTCATTTTATGTCTGAAGGTACGGGTCTTGAACAGGGCTTCCTCGAATCTGGCGTGTTTGATGTGTTGTTTAACCACGTACTACTTAACACCCTTCGCCTTCCGGATCTCACCGTTGTCGGCCTTCAGGATTGAGTACATCTCGGGTCTCAAGCCTATGTACTCGGCTATGGGCGTACCAGCACACTCGTCCTTCATCTTACCGAGGACCTTTTTATTTACTGTGCTGTGTATGGCATGGTCCTTGGGGTAGTCGCTGGTGTCGTACAAATCGAGGCGTTTCTTCATGTCCTCGTACACGTCCTCGGTTCGAATCTCCATCAGCAGGGAATCCTTGTCCGTGTACAGCACTTCGCACCTGTCACCGTACTGTTTCTTGAGCTCGTTGTAGTAAAAGTCGTACATCAGGTGTTTGGATAAATCGAGGATGCTCATCCCCACGTAAACAGGCCGGTTGAATTTGATGTGGCTTTTCTTCATGTGCAGGGCCACCAGGTCGTCGGTGAATATCTTGCTCCGGTTGAACGCCGGGCTGGCTATCAGTCTCCTGAGCTTGTCTTCCTCATTCGACCGAACCAGCTTCACGGTCACGCGTTTCCTCAGGTTCTCCATAGTCTTACCGAACACCGAGTTGTTCATGAGCTTGTAGAGGTTTTTCTCAAAGTCACTGGTGGCCAACTTTCGCAGGTCCGTGTTCATTCTGATGTAGGGCTCCATCCAGGGGCTCTGGTTAAACACGAGCACCCTGTGTATTTTGGTCAGCCTCATACCCAACGACAGGTACAGCTGTAGGTTGCGATAGTGAACGATGTACTTGGTCTTATTCATTAAGTTGGGCACTAGTTTTTCAACGTCTGCCACCCGCCCACCTAGCAAGTTATGTTGGTACTCGGACACCCAGTCTAGGTTAACCTTCATACGTTCGGGGGCCAGGGTGTAGCTGATGTGCGATGTGTGTAGTGCCTTGGGGTATTCCAAGTCCACCTCGAGGATATAGCCTTTGTTCGAATCCAGCGCGATGCTCATAACATCGACCTCGTGCGATGCCCATTCGAATCCCCCTGTGGGTAGATACTGGCTCATGGCCCAGCCATACAGGTTGTTGGCGTCGAGGTAGAGAATATGATTGGTTGGCTTGCTCGGGTCGTAGCCCTTCACGTATTGATTATTTGCTTTCGCGTATCGTTTGGTAGCAATGGAAATCCCATCCCGCAAGCCTTTCTCAATGAATAGGTGCATGTCGTAATCGGTGAGCAATTCAAACTTAACTCCGGTCTTTTTCAGCAATGCATCCTAAGATAGGCCTGGGCTGGTGTAGTACCATGCGGGGTCGAGTTGATACTGCTTAAAACACGTCCTCCTAAACGTCTCGAACACGTCGGCTAGCAGGAGTACATCTGTCCTCAAGTACAGGTCGTGGTAGTCACCCAGATTCTTACAGCCCAGTTTATTCCATACGTTAATCGCGTGCGAGTAATCGTCTTGAGTGATTGTCGAGTCGGTCAGGTTGTTGTAAAATCGGTTGATAGGAGGCAGTCGGGTCTCGGCGAACTTGGCCCAACCATCCATGTACTCGTAGGGGTACACACCCTTCCTCATCAGCAGGGGTCGAGTCTCGGCATCGGTATATCGATCAGTGATGGGGAAGGTATCGTTGGCCTTGACCAGACTGTCGAGTCACGACAGGAGGAACTGAACCGAGTCGATGAACCTCAAACCATTCAAGCTGATGGAGATGTATCTCTCTATGTTGTTGGGGATGCATGT